GTGTACTCTTCTGTTCGGTCGGAGGAGGCGTAGTGTCAATGTGTATACAATAATATATGACAGTAAAAATTTGAAATAAAGCTGAAGGAACAGGTGCAAGTGTTATACAGATTGCGGTCATGTGCTATGTATTATATATGTATACACAATACCGCACAGCGGTGTAAAATGATGTTTGCTAAGGTTAAATATTTTTCTATCGTCTCCTATCCGTGCTTTATCGGTCCTTAAGATTTACCTGTCAGTAACGTTGTATATTTTTTCTGACAGGACTGCCGTTCATAGTCCGTTTACAGTTTACCATACGTATACCTACCCTCCAAACGATAAACATTATTGTAACTCTGGAATGTTTTGATCCGTTCGCCAGTAAGTATAACAGTAATATGTATATTAAATAATTATTACAACAGTACCTTATAATATAATATTATCTTCAGTTGATTCTACATAGGAGTTTTTGTCGCACCTTAACCCCCCCCCCTACCTCTTTTCATTGGTACACACTCGCCTTTGATAAATTACCCCCGGGTGCTTGCCGGGTTTTTATTTTATACCTAATAACTAAGTTAAATTTTCGAATTTTATTTTTAAAACGACCGAGTGGATATTTGTAGCAGGTAAGTATAATTTAAATTAGGAACTCAACACAATATGCGGGTCGAACCCGAGTTTAATTATAATTTTATTTTAATGTTGGGATAATATGCAATAGTGTAATGACCCTCTGTGTTTAAACCGAACCTTGAATCGTGATGCATCATTAATTTGTGACCCAAAACGGTTTTCGACGAGATGTTAACGGGTGCCTGGATAGCGCTTTGATAGTATCCAATCGTATGTTTTACCCAAGGTAAAATATAATTAAGAAATTATTTCTGATTTAATGGTCGTATCTAGGCCTATTGCGTGCCATTTGTTGTGTATTTTATTTTTTTTTATCGTTAAACCGCTTTTTTTTCATTCGGATAAAACCAGTTTGCCGGATGAGTGATGATATTAATCACAACAATATAACATAAGGTTGAACGTCTTTGTTAAAATGTCGCGGCGTTTTGACAGATGTTCCTTCCTGGAAGATTAATCGTCATTGGGTATCATTTTGTAATAATAACATTACTTCTTTTTCTCCTGATAGCTACTTGACAACGGAATCGAGATTGCGTGAAGTTTTTGTAGTTTTATTTTCTACTGTCCGTTGAATTTTGCATGGTTGGTATATTTTGTTAATAATAATTGCGGTAATAATAATATTGTGTACAGCCGAAAATTTCCCGTCACACATACAAACCGACGTCAGTTTAATGAAGTGCACATAAAAAAAAAAATTATACAAAATTCTAGCCGCCCTTGTACCGAAGGGCTTCGCCCGGGTTAATAAATAATATATCGGTTAACGGAGGTAATACATTATTATTACTATTAGTTGTGTAGATACTTAATATAAAAAATGGCCGTACGTATTTGTTTACATTGGAAGTGACCCTTCTACTTTAATCTATTTTGTGCTATTACCACGGCCAACATTCATTTGATACTATCTAGAGATAATGTTTTACTACTTATTAGAATTACACATATCATGGTTTAATCACATCATATGTAAACACCATCCGTCGAATGGGTCGGACCGCGTATCAGGTTATTTAGCTGCGGTAATACAATTAAATATTAAAAAAAGAATATTGAACAAATTCGAAAATATTGCATAAAAATAGTAACAGCGTTTAGAAATAGATACCTTTAGTTTTGGTAGACAAATTAAAAAACAAATATTAACAAAACATTCTTTCCAAAATGCAAAATTAATTTTAAAAGTGTAGTGTAGTATTGTTTTTATCTGCGCGCACTTCCCCTCCTGTCCTTACTTTTAAACTTCTATAACTTTCAAAATAGTTGTTCAAAACTGGTTATCAACCAGTCAACATTTTTAAGTAAAATATGCTTAATTTAAGTTAATAAAATATATACGTTATCATTTAAGTTTCAAAAGTTGATATAAAAATAATTAGTTTGGGAGAGGATTAAAAACATGAAAATTTGTAAGATATTGAGATTATACATAGTTTAAAAATACTATAAAAAACTGAATTACTTATTAAATTCTATGTGATATTTAGTGACTCACGATAAAAAAAATAACTGTATAATCTGGGCGGTTGTAAACAGTGATTAAAATCTTTTTTTTTTTCATGTACTTTGTCAACTTAGTTTCATTTTGTATGTAACAAGAAAAAAGGTACATAATAAACTGTAAACTGCGCATATCCTTAGTAACCTAATTGGTTAATAATTAAAATAATAATTTGCTAAAAATGTTGACTAGTCGATAACCAGTTTTGAGTCATTAATTTTAATGTTATCAAAGTTTAAAATTTAGAACAGGAGGAAGGGGGTGGAATGTAGTGTTACTTTTATCTTTGCGCATTACCCAACCGCACTCCACTTCCCATCTTAAATTTTAAACTGACAATTATAAAAGCAATTATTCAAAACTGGTTATCGACAATAGTCAAAATATTCAGAAAAAATATTCTTAATATAAAAAACTAATTCAACGTATTCAACGTAAGTTTCAAAAGTTACCCCCTTCACTCATTCCACCACTAGTATGGCTTCTGACTGGAAAAAATACTAAACATTTTTTTTTTCCTTTGGCAGTATTACTCATTTATCTGCATAGTCTGTATTTATACACAATTTTTATCTTATACTTTTAATAACTGCTATAGTTCTGATAGCTTTCAGTTAATGTATTTGGCCTTCATTTGAGAGTGATGAGAGTGACAGTAATGTTATTACTTATTACATGTAAGTAAAATTTGTTTTCAATTTTTCTCTAGAGTATTTTACACTTGAAAAAATAAAAACTTGAAAGAATTGTACATACAAATTCTACTTGCTACTAACAACCTCCAAAAATTATTTTAAAGAGCTAAAAAATTTAGAACAACTATTTGTTTTTCAATAAAAAAATCTGTCATAAAACGAACTGTTTATTACAGGCGATTAGTAAGGCGATAAAATATTTTTAAGAAGATACTAGACTTTTCAAAATTATTCTGTTTTGTATTTTTATAGCCTCATGTAATAAAATCTTAAAAACTTCAGCTTATAAAATGGTGAATTATATTTTTATTTTTTATATTTTGAATCTTGCATTGAGTTTTTTTAGTATTAATATACTTAAAATATATTTTAGATACAAAATTACAACACCACTACAAATATTTAATTTAAAAAATATATAATTTAGGTTTTGTTAAATTTGTTAAAAATTCAACCATTTAATTATAAGTTGAAAATTTGCTATAACTACAAAATAAACAAAAAAATTTACAATTTTAATTTTAAAATAGTTTATTAATTATAACAAATACTTATAAAAAATTAAACCCAATTTTTTCGGTTTATTACTATCATTAAAATCATCTACGCACCAATGTTTCATGCTCTATTCCGCATATTATCTTCCTCTCCTCCTTCAACATGCCCTGGCAATATAAAATATATTCTCTCTCATTATACCGTTTTATTTGCGAACCGTCCACCGTACAAACTACTTATATATGGTCATTCGGCATTCCTTATTCTGGTTAGCTTAGTCACTCCTCACTATTTCATTCCAGCATTATCGTTTTCTTATTTTGACTTACTCATTCTATGCCCAACACTCACTTCTAAAGATCATTGCTTGCCTCGCCTTCACTTAATGGTTTTTTTTATTAGATACAATAAATAAGGAATTTTTTTAGACTCGATTGCATAAATTACTAAGCCGTGTGAACGTGGGTTGTCGGAAAATTGGCGGGTACTTTAAATTTATACATTTTTCACTACCCTGTTACTCGATATTTTAAGAATTGAAACTGTATTGAGAGAAATAACAACAAAATTACTGTTTACTTACAATTATTTGTTAAATAATTGTTTAAATTCACAGACAGATTAAGAAAAATGTATTGAATTAACGAACACTGATAATACCTTTTTTAATGATATTTTATTTTGAACACAGCTTGTTACAAAAAAAAAAAAATAATAATAACAATAAATATTTAAAGTTTAATAAAAGTAAAATTAAATATAATAACTTTGTCATTAGAACCGAAATGCATTAAACTAATTGTTATACCTACAATATTATAGGAAATACCTACGCTTTTTACGATTTGTCTTACTTTGTTGATTTTCAGCCCTTGAATTTGTTCAAGTCAAATTTTTTTTAAGAAGCTTTTAACACTAAAAAAAAACCAAAGGCTTAACATACATTGATATTTTCACCAAATTTTGTATGATTAAAAGAACATTTCTCACTTAAACTATCAGAGGTTATTTCCAATTGGAGTGATGAGAACCGAAAGGGTATAATGTATGGTGTTAATGAATAAAATATTTTTCCATCTGTATTAGATTGATTTACAATTCGGAAGAGTGTTAAACAAAAGGAATATAAACATAATCGATTATACGAGAACTCGTTGAAAATATGATTTGTATATTTTAATCCGCTTAAAATTTTATAAAAATCACGTGCAACCGCGTCAATCGCTTGTTTATCAACAAATTTGTGAAACACCACGATAGGTATGTATACAACAATACACGAGGACGGGCAAGTATAATTAATATACTTAACGTGCACCTACCGGGTGTGTGTATTACTTTGTTTCAATAATTGTATTTATACATTTTTGCTGATCTAACATTGTTATTTACTATTCCCTTCCCCGGCGATCACGGTCAGGCAATCCGCGGTTGTCACAGACACTAGCAAGCGGCGGCGGTGGCGGGCGCGGTCACGGGCACGCGGCGATCGATGCGCCGCACTCCGGGCGAATGGCGCGACGAAACCACGCCCGCAATGGGCGGCCCCCGGGACGGCCGCCCGCTCGACGTCCGCCGTCCGTCGGCCCGGTTCGGCACGGCTCGCCCGCCGCCGCCGCCGCCGCCACCACCGCGGACCGCGGCCGTTCGACGGTCGGTAGTCGGTACGAAAAATTCACCGTGGCCGCACGTCCGTCGCCGTCGAGTTTGTTTTGTTGGCATTTGTAATATAATTGTATAATATTATTATTGTACTTGCATGTGCGCGACCGTCCGGAAGTGTAAACGAAAACATCCGAATCGAACAATTCGAGTGAAAAAGCTATCTATGCCGCGTTGATGGCAGGTCGCGTCGTCCGTGTCAGTGCGGCGGTGGTGGCGATCAGTCGAGTGTGAGAGAGGTATTTTTTTTTAGTTCTTCCGCCCGACCAGTGTTTTTTCGGCGCTTTGCACACCAGTGGCCGGACACCAAGACGACATGGCGTTCTTCTTTTGCGGTATTTTTTTTTTGTCCAATTTTTACATATATTATTTTCACCGTAAACACGGCACTAACCGGCTCCACAGCCGATATATTTTTATAATATTATATTATTATTACAGTATGTAAGGTGTGTTGCCTTGTGTGTGTGTGTGTAGTGTGTGTCGACCGGCAGAGCATAATACGTGCCGTCGGCCGACTACCGCGTATTACGTAAACAGCCGGCGCGTACTTTTGCCTTCGAATCGCAGCAAAAGATTTACTGCGACACCGACTTTCGCTTGGACAAGTCTTGTCAACGGGCGTAATCGGACTTTTGACCGGGCACACGTGGGTGTTCGTTAAGAGGCGTTTACTTGCCAATTTTTGTATTACCTACGCCCTTGTCGCACCGTAGAACCGCTTCGAAATTATTGTACTAGTGACCGACCGGGCAATGGAAAATATGATTACATAATCACAAGCCCGAGTCGTTACCGGCTATTTTCATGTATGATATTGTTAATGTTATTAGATTTTACTTGGTTATCTTATCGCAGGTTTTTTTTTCCACGTCTAAAACCCAATAACGGTCGGTCGCCATGTGTTTTTGTTAGTGCGTTTTTTATGCGTCCGGCCGCCGCCGCCGCCGGCGTCGTCCCATATCGCCACTGCCGGGTCGGCCCGAGTTACCGGCAGACGAGCGTCCGCTGCCGCCGCCGCCGCCGCCACCTCACAACGCCGTAATAACTCGCGAGCTATAACGACGATCTCCCCTTGTCGCGCGTCCGCCGAGCTATATTGCTTTTGCGTTATTATAACTCGGCGTGCACATAAATGGGTTTTTCTGACTATATTTCCAACATTATCATGTTTTATGTTAAACCGACAAGTGATAATATTCTTCAAGGTCTTCTAATTTATTTTTAATTTTTATAATAGCTAATAAAACAAATTTAATTAAAAAAACTCTTATTTACAAACGAAGAATCTTGTACTCAAATATGAACGGTGTAAAGGTGCAATATTTTTGTCACTAAAACGAATCGCTTGATTAGGGGTAGACTCATTGTTGTATTACTTTTTGATGTATAAAATAATATGTAACAAGTGGTAATTTCATTTTGCGAAAACAACTTGCGAACGGCTTCAAAAGACAATACGTGCAAGCCAAAAGACTTGGGTTAACGAGTAACATGGTTATTCGGTTGTGTACCTGATATATTTAATGACCACTTGACCCGTCGGCGTTTATATTATTTATAGTAATATTAATAATGGTACATACTGTGTTCTTAATTCGTATTATTTATTGCACCCAACGGCTTGCTGCCACGCAAACATCATTATAATATTATACTGTTCCACATTATGTTCATATTTCATCCGGTACGGTACAGCATAAACCGTCGTAAGATTGCTTAGAAAAACGATAAACATGAAATTGTGTGAAATGATTGGGTTAGCTTACTTTAAAATGACTTTTTGGCTGAAATGATGTGACTCCACTCTCATGTCCGGAAGGCAAGGTTTGGTTGGTTAGAGAAATAATTACTATATGTAATAACATAAAAAATAAGGCAGTTATTTTGTTTCTATCGTGTTTCGATTAGCTCTGTAATCGCGGAAAGAACATAAATATAGTGGTCAAGTAAATCCAACGACGGATCTCTTTAAATAGATCGCCTATTTTAAGAATCCTATACTATAATACGAGCAATAGGTACGTGTTTATACAATATATATATGTATATATATAGTACGTTTTACAAGCAACCCAGCAATGGGAGTTTTCCGAAAGCTGGTTTAAGCCTCAAGAAATGCATTTGGTCGCGTGGGCCTTATTTTTGCTAAGATTCGGTAAAGAGTTAAAACTAAGTGCCAAAAATACCAGTCTTCGGATGAGCGCCTTTTACTGTTTGTCTGTTTGTTATTATGGTAATCGGAGACCATAAAACCATATAGCATACGATTTTATAGGTGTAGTTACTGAAATTTATATAAAGAGGATGCTTCACGCCCGTATTCTATCTTAAAAAAATGGTTTTGCGGGGGATAAGTACGTGAGGGCAGTATTTAAGGCAGTTAACATATAAAATGTTTACAATAGACAAAGAAGAGCTCGTAGGCTTTTTTTTTTTGCATAGCTATTAATGAATATCTGTATTATTATTATTGTTAAAAAATCGTATTATGTATTATTAGTATTCAGCAGTATGCTGTGTCGTCCCTAGCAACCTATGGATATTACAGAGCCCGCTTGTTATATAAATCGCTTGTTATGCAATAAATGTTTTATACATACATATATGTAAATATAATATATATGTCGTAGCGTTTTTAGTTTTTTGATGAAAATTAAACACAATCAAAATTATTCATTCATAAAACTGCATAGATAAAAGTTCAATAAAGTTCTTCTGTTAATACTGTCCTTCTCACGTACTTGTCTGTTTTGATGGTAAAAAAAATTATAGTTAATCCTATAGAAATGACTGTGATAGTCTGACAAAAAAAAAAGCAATCAATAAAAATCCACATTACTGTATTAATAAGTATACGCTTAAGTTCAAGCTGTAAATTAAGATTTTGGCGAAAAATTGCCTATACTTCACTTCTTATAATACCGCTATTTTGAGAGGGAGATACAATTCAGTCAATTTTTCCAAATTTTTTTGAATGACAATAATATAAATAAGTGTATTTTTGTTATGCATACTAAATTAAAATTCAGATGTGTTAATATGAAATTATGGAAAACGTAGAATTTTCCTAATCAAGTTGATAGCGTAATATCATTGAGCTCAATTCGTTAGCCGAATAAGTATATTAAGGGGTACAATATTATGATAAAAGTAACTTAATTATGTTAATTAATTAATTTAAAAATAATAGTGTTACTATGCCACTCTTTAATTACCTCTGTGCACATTTTTTTTTAATTTGGGCTTTGAAATATTTATTATTATGTTAATCTTGTACGTATATTAAATTAATTTATACGCATCTATAATAACTAAATTATAAATGAGAAAAAAATGGCCTTAACGAATTTTTCAAAAACAATTGCATTTATTTCTTCTGCAAAAAGTAGGTCGTTAATATTTTTTAGGTTGGGATTTTTGGAACCTTGAGAAATTAGGCATATTTTACAGTGTTTTAATTTAAATTTGAATAGTCGAATAATGCCCATCACTAGTATATTATACAAACAAATAATAATTGTGTATTCTTTGCAGACTTTTTTTTTTTAGCTTTTATTAACAGCTTTTTTTTTAATACTAATATATTAAAATATCAAGTCGGTAGAAATATTCGTACACGATGAACTTGAAGGTGTTTAATCAAACATACAAATAGAACATTCGGGTAATTATATTATCAAGCTAATCATTAGGATCTTTTTCTTTGTGCGGTTTTAAGACAAGAATTTCAGTGTCCAGTTTTTTTCTTTCTGTAGCTAATGCTGGGCTATGTGGCGCTGTTCGTATGGCGCTTCTAACCGGAAGTAAGCCCCGTTTGGTTAGGCTGTTGTTTTTAAAATTTTTGTCGTCAGGTCGTAGGTTTTTGAATACGTTTTTTTATAATACACTTTAGCTGTGCTCATAGTAATAAGTAAAGTATCGTTACGCCGTAATTGTGTATAATATGCTAATTTCACGTGTTATTTTATGCTTAAAACGACTTTCAAACCCGAATAACTAAATAGTAATATTTTTTTTCCCCTCAGGGTCAACTGTTGTACTTTGTATACAGTCGGTGGGTATATTATATTTATATATAGTTTATAACGCACCGGTAAAAATATCTGATAACGGTCAAAAGACGTTTCCGTCAAATACATAATATTATTATGTTTGTGCTTCCAACGAGTTGTGCGTATAACAGAACTTGTTACCGTGCCGAATAACAGTACATTGTAATTATTATTAGGTAGATTACGTGGGACGAGCAAGCTTCCTCCTCCGCCAATTTCTTAAGAAGCTGGCATAGATATATAGTTGGGTTCTGTGTAAAACAACATAAAATTACAAAAAAGTCTTATTATGGTCGTTTTTTCTTGTTGTTTGTAATCATTTTGACAATAATCGATTTTTTGAAATATTTTTTTTTTTTTGTGATAATCAGGTATTCGCTTAATTTTTCAGGAAACTCATGTAACACGACTTGTAATATAAGGAAATAATATAGTGCCGCCTTTACTTTTGCCCAGTGGGTCCGAGAATAGTGTGCAGTTGATTCCTGCTTAAAGCCATTACATTGTTCTTAAAAAAAAAAAAAAAAGAACATTGTTCAATCCGGGCCGTAAACAACCATGGTAAAATAACCTACCATGGTTGTGCTTACTTTGAAGTAATACAACTAAAATAATCGGTTTCGGTGTATTCTTAACTTAACTCTAGAATGTCATGTTGACTATAGTTGGTAAATCAGTAACAGTTGCAAATCTCTGTTCACAACAACACATTAACTTGGAGTATGCACAAGACACTGTCTATTTCCCGTCACTATCTATTTTTACCGGAATGAACTTCATAATATCAATGATACAGTATTATATACTAATTCTATTTATTATTATTATTTTAGTAGTCTTTATAGATTAAACGGACAGGTGTATATAAATATATTTGGTTTTGCTCATTAACATTTCAAGAATAACATTAGCGGTGTTTTTTTTCCCAATTTTTAACAACTGCCACGGGCCGAAATTCGAAGCCTCTCTAGTCCGCCCTTGTAAGAGGCCAAGGAAATAGTTTTTTTTTTTTTTTTTACAAAACTGTAATCGAACCGACTTTAACGGTAGACATTTTCTAAGGCTTTCTGGTCCAAGACGGCGTGAAAAAAAAAATAAACAGCCCGCTTCCTCGTTCGGTTATAATTTTATCCTACCAATGTCAACAGACAATAATAGTTATTAACAACCGATATGACGGTTTGTGTCTCGTTTTTGTCTATTTTGCTGTACTTATGTTGATAATATTATATTGTTTCAGCTTCCGGTAACGCTACGGAGCTGATGACCCAAGGAGCGGCGTTCAAAATGCAAACCGACCAAATGGGCCCTATTCTCCAAGCGACTGATCCCAACAGCAGTGAGTGCACGAGTTTAATAATATAATACACGTGCGCAACTATAGCATAACATACACTATAAGAACTACATATTATTATAATATTATAGTTCTTATTATAGTATATGGTATTGGCGCCGCGCTTTGGTGGTCGGTCTTATGGTGTGGAACCTTTGCAAAACCGAACGCCAAAAACATACTCCCATCATTACTCATCGCTCACAATTACACGAATTCGTTCTGGTTAATGCCACGCACGCGGGCGTACAAAAAGCAGATCCGTGTACATACATACATACATACATACTGTATCATGCAAGTATAGGGTGTGGTCCATATGAGTCATGTGCGCGTTGTATTGTGCAGTTGGGCATCGTGCACCAAGCGCGCGCGTGTGTGTGTGTGTGTGTTTGTATACATTGTACATTTTCTTTCCATAACGTGGCCGGCCCACCCCTCTGGTGGTAATTCGATGCACACGGAAAAAGATTTATCCCCCCCCCCACCTTCCCCTGAAAACTGCTCTCGGCCATTTATCGCGTGTCCTTACAATACACACACACACATTACGACCTAACCGACTACCGGGCACACACCACGCACGACTCGGTATATAATATGTATATTATTGTTATATATAATTTATATACAGTCTTCTTTGCCGGGGACAGGTGAAGTGGTCAATTAATTTTCCGCCGTTCGCCAACACCCTGCACTCGTTTGCTGCAATCGCGAATAATTGCCATGATTATAATAACGCGTTTGGCCTGATTATATTCAGCTATAGTCTGTGTGCCAACACGCGGACCACCGCTAACTGACGCCTAATACACCTAAGGTTATTATCCCGGATTTCATACATTTAGTAGGTATGTCGAAGTTGGCTACTCCCCGCGGGGCCCACCTGTGTCGCTAAGTATTCACAAACCATTTATTGTTTTATGCTTCAAAAAGCGTATTTACCCCTAGCTTTAAGTTTTTTTTCCCAATTATATATATATATATATATATATATATATACCGTCTTATAATATCTTTAATGACTCTTAGCGTTTGCAGTTGTATATTATTGTTATATATACCTACGCACGTGTTATTGAACAGTAGCCGGTAACACAATAAGCGTTTGATTGCAATCTACTGTTATGTGTGTGCGTCGGCCATCGTCGTCGACCCTTCCCAAAGTAGGCTTACGACGATTCACATGGCCGGGAATTAGCCGCTCGCACGGTATTATATATTATTAATGTACAGCGGAGGAGGGGATGAAGTAGCACATCTGGCTACCCCACGGTCGACGTGTGTTTTTATTTTATTTTACCGTCTTGCAACAAATGAGTTTCATTAAGATAGATGCGCTATAAATAGTATAGTTGTAGTTGTTATAGTCAGTATGACGGTGTACGCGTTTTTATTGGATTAAAACGATGGCCGGATGCGAGATCAATTCTAGCGCTCGAATTATAGATAGGCATAGCCAGGGGATGCGCGGCGGTTAAAATCAAAATTTGTCAGAAATTGCGCCCCCCCCCCCCCCGGGATCCGTTGTTGTCCCGGTAAAGGTCGTGAAAGGCTTTACGGAGTGTGTGTGCTGAGATAGTATTATGATTTCGTCAAGTCACTCGCGTTACCTAGTTTGTGCGTTTGTCAATGACTGAGCTATATAATATAATGCGATGGCGTTCGAGTGATGTGTGCCTGCGGTGTGTGTAGGTATAGAATATATTGTATACGGTATTTTATATAGCTAGGCACCACTGCCGGTTGTTAACATTCCTTTTCGGAACGCGCAACGTTATAATCTAATTCAAATATGTAAAGGTCGTCCTCTCTTTGCCGTGCATTGCGCAGCTCTCTGGCAAACAATAATGGTTTTACAGTCATAGTCGGGCGGCGTTATCGTCGCCGGGCAAACAACGACGAACCACGATGATGATGATGATGATGATGATGACCCAAAGGGACACACGGCTACACAACAGAAAGGAGAAGAAAAATATATATATATAAATATAAGAGGCATACCCCTTGTCAAGATAATATCAAAACGCGTCGTGCCCCGGCCTGCACGAAACTGGTTTTTTACAATCGAAAATAGACGGTTTTTCTGGCATAAGTCACTTATTTTTTTCTTATTATTCTTCTTCACCGAACACTTTTCATTACTATCTCGCGCGCCGATACTAAAAAACGGTTGCCCCTCCCCTCCCCCACCCCACGGATGTGGCGCTGACTATTATTATATGTATTTCGTATTATTCAAAAACAAAAAAAAAAAAAATATTATACATAATACATGAGCACCACCGTATGGACGGCGGCGGACGCACGGTTACAAAATTGTATTTCAATATATTATTGCTACCGTCGTTGCCGTGTGTGTTTGTATAAATCAAAATTATAATACAAAACTTGGCAGCAATATTTAAGAAGTCGATGTTGGGTTATTTACCGGCGGGTGTACCGGCCCGTGTGTACCTACGCATAGCGTGTAAAAAGATCATATTAATAAGAAAGTAACAGCTAGCGTCGTGTACCAAGTATCAGATGTTGTATAATGTATGTATATATTTATATTGTATTATTGTTATTATGGCTAATGAGAAAGATTTAGGTGTATCGACGGGAGGGCACCGACGCTACGCCGGAGAAAGGGAAAACAAAAGGCCGACGGGATGCGCGTTTTGGATAATATCAGCTGTATAATATTATTTTGTCAAAAAAAAAACAACATTATAAATTATTTATAATCATCGTCCCGACACAATTATTGACCCTTGGCGCAAGGTTTAACACAACGGCTTTTGGTCCCATCGTCGTTACATACAACAACATTGTGTGTTATCGTTGGCTGGCAAAAATAAATAAAGCCTTCCCTGGCTTCTACAAAAATGACCAATTCAATTTTTTGGGGAAGGGGATGCAGGTTTAAGAGTGGTCATGACCCTTAAACCTGCATCTGAATTATAATTTTATTTCCTTATAAAAAAAAATATATATTATCAGTATCAAAAAATCCCGCGTTACGTCCATATCGATTACACAAGTATATAGTGAATCAATATATAATTATATTTTTACAAAACGAACAAGTCCTAGAGATTACTTTTATACTTGTAATTTTGCTAACAAATATTATATTTATTATTTTAGGATTTTTTCCTAACGATCTGGAGGGGAGGGCTGTTTTTCGCGTTGCTTGGGTTCTTTTACATTTTCAAAAAGGGGAAAAAAAAGTTGCAGAACTGTAAAACCGTCTTGATATGCGCTCCCCTCGAACGTCATCGGGAAAAATAAATCAAAAGATATGCGCTGTGTTGTACAATCATCACGTGAAATAAATAGATTCATACTTAATGTATTTTTTGTGTTTCGCTTCCATTTAGATTACATCGATTCGATTAGACGTCGTAGAGCAATATTTATACTACACGGATTGTGTTAGCAGTATATTATTTTCATGATGACATAAAGTATAAATTGTTATTTTTCTTCCTAGTTCACGATATTCGTCTGTACATAATAAAAAAAATCTGCAAACGGGTCAAAGTCTTGTCGCTTGTGTACATAATTAATTTCATTAGCTTGTTGTAATACGATCTGCTGCGCATTGGCCTCGGCGTTGTTACTTGGGCGATCAATTTTGATCCGATTCCGGGATAAATCTTTTCGTTATTTATTTTTTTTTCTTCAAGACGTCACAAAAATGCCGCCACGGCGCACGTTATTCTCTATATACCTCTACCCACCGTGTTATGTGGTAGTCTGATAATATCTTTATAGCGTCGCCTTGATGTTTCAGCGGGTCGTTAAACGCACAAGAAAAGAGGCCTTCGGTCAAACGAGTACGCGCTGTAATGTAGTAATGTATGCAAAATAACATTTTTAGCCGTTCCACAAGTTCCACTGTCGGGCAACACACGGGCTTGAATACTATGTATACAAAAAAAAAAATGTTAAAATACTTTTTTAACATTATCTAATATAAATGCATCTGTGGGATTCCTCGGTAGCCGTTTTTTTTTTTATTACTAATTTGTCCCCTGCGAGTGGAGTCGAAATGAACAAAATCTGCTATGCCAAGTCTTATCAAACGACGACGGTATAAAGTCAAGAGTTCACTTCGTAAAGCTCATTCGTCTGACCTCCGATGGTTTGTTGTTAGTCAAAATTTGCATAATATTACAGTGAAACAATCGTGTCAATGTTGTCACCCGATGACATGTTATATATGAATATAAACATTTTTTTTTTTCACAAAGCCCTTTGTTTCTTTTTTGATCGACTATGGCTTTGTCGAATATTTTGGGTGATAATAGACGACAAAGATTTTTGAAAAAAATCATATCAAGGTCTTTGGTTAAAAAAAAAAAATGCCCGAGCGATAGTGTTATATATTTTATTTTGTAAACATTGTGTTGTTGTTGTACAAAAATCGGTTTTCTAAATAAAAACTCGATAAGGTCTCTAGCAGCTAATATAGTTTGAACGGCTCGTACGACGTCAGTATAATAATAATAATTGTTCAAAAAAGCTTTTACCGGACAATTTTTGAAAACCAGAAAACGGTCGTGACCGCTTAAATTTTACATTTCAATCAACAGCCCTGTGTGTAATTCAATATACACGGCGTACGACAACGGTAGCCTTGAACGGTCGTTCGGAATGCAATTATACAATATAATATTGCTTTTAAATAATAGAAACAAGACGCAGACGACGTCGTAGAGAGTAATACCTAAATGAAATTAGATTTTTTTTTTCTTTTTTAAGAAATACTTCTATTTCATCATTCCGGAATCGGTTAGCGGCGCCACGCATAACACAATATATGTAAACCTTCTCCACAAATGTGTTTTAATATTTCTCTATTGTGTTTTTTTTTTTTTAAACCTGACCGCTTTTTTTTTACCAAAGCCATAAACGAACCGGGTTTTAACATTTTTTTTTTTTTTTTTTTCATCATTGCGGTTCCAAAAATTATCAGATGTTTATTATCCATCCAGAACCGGTTACGACGT